TCATTTCCTGTTAATACAGTAAAGTGTTCTTCCTCCACCCCAATCTTTCTGAGCATTTTAATTGCTTCTTATATGTCTTTGTGTTTGGGCTCTAACTTTGTTCAGCTGTTGATAAAACAGAAGCATTCAACCTGTCATTAACATGTGCACTCAGATGTATACAATAAAATTATCTAATCTATTGCTTATCAGTGGTTCTACAAATATTTTTCTCTATAATTCCTGTTTCTTAGGCTTTATTCTTACCATGTCATTTTTTTTTCCCCTGCTTAATTCTACCTGAGTAGAATTTCATCACTATAGGTAAGGGGGGAGGGGAGGGTGGTGCACATTGATAAAATTTACTCTGGATAAGTAGGATACCTGCACACACCCTCATGACTGGAATTTCCAAACCCTTTGGGTTGTCAGACAAAGTAAGCTGTTTGTAAATTAATTTAGAAGGTGGAATTTAAAGATTGCATTCTTTTCTATTTGAAACAAAAATGATAAAATATTTCCAAAGACATGTTATATATTATTTTTCTTCTCTTACATTAATGAAAAGAAGTGTAGATTAAAATTCCTGAGAGTATTTGGAAACTAAAATCACAGAAGTTATTTTAGGCTTTGTGCTATGAACAGTGATCTGATCATTAGTGCAAGTATACTCGAAGTGCATAGATTCCAAAGAATTAAATCCAGACCTCTACAATCACAGACACAACTTCATATAATTTCTTCTTTAAATATATTTGAACTATGGAAATTTTATATAATAAATACACGTATTTCAGTTAAAAAAAGTAGAAATTTACTGTACAAAGCAAGTATGTGGTTTTACAAAATGATACCAGAAAGATCATATTTGTTGTTTGAATTTCTTCGAAAAAAATGAAATCTTGGACATAATATAATGGATTTTAAACCTCTCATTTTGGTCCTTCTTTCTGCTCATTGTTCTTCAAATTTGCTGCTGCTTTGCTTTTCTCTTTGTCTTGCACAGACCACCAGACTACACCCACAATCACATTTGGGAAACTTTCCTGACGTGGTTTCTGCAGTTTCCCTCTGCTTTTCATCACTGGTAGAAGGTTCTGTCCTTGTGTTTAGCTGGTTTCACAGATGATTATTGAAGCTCTTTTCTTTTACTCACTGCTGGATTTTTTATATATTATTCCATCAGTTCAATTGTACTGTGCTCCTTTACAAAATATGGAAAGTGTAAGATTGTTAGAAGAGAAATTTGACAAATAGAGTTATAATCACCTGGAAAGAAAATATGTACAGGTAGGAAAATGTAAAATGTACGTATTGGTTCAGTAAGATGAGATACAGTCTATCTCATCTCTTCATGGAACATCTTTCAAAAGCTTGAATAATAATACACAGATATCTGAACCAGCAGAGTAATTTTAATTTTCAAATCTTGGACACTCTACTGTAGTGTTTGCCTGTTGAACAGAAGGCTTTCTCATCTGTTGAGCCAATATTTATACACAAGGTAACACACACTTTTGTAGTAACTTTTAAGGAACAGAACTAAATATAAAATATCTTATTGTCTTTCCTTCTCCCATGTCTGGTCATTTAGCTATTTAGCCCTTGAATAAATATAGGTAAGAAATTTGTGTGTAGAAAACTGTAACTCATTACTGACCAACCTTGGTCAAATTTTAATATTTCAAGAGCAACATGAGAACTGATACCGAGAAACGGTGTTTTTATTTAGATTTTCTGTACATGTATTTACATTGTGGTGTGCATACACTAGCAATGACAGAGGAATGTTTATGCTAGTGGATCCATGGGAAATCTGCTGTAAGCCTACCTGCCTTTTCGTGTGGCTCACATGGTAATAGAAGTGGCAGAGCATTGCCCTTCCTTCTCTGTTTCAGCTGCTTTTCTGAGTCACAAACCTCTATTGTCTTTCTTCTGGATAAACACATAGATTCTGTTTTAATTTCTATAAGGACCTCTGTTATTTGTTCATTCTGACTTTTTTAAGGACTTCAGTATGAGGTTTGCTCTTGGATACTGCCCTTTTTCCACATGTTGTGGCTTCTGGTTTTTACCCTTACGGTATATGGCTTTAACCTCTCCCTTCTGTGGTGGAAAATGGTTCATTCCCCACAGACCTACCCATTGCTTCTGCTTTCTGTGAGAAGGAAACATCACAGTTAAGAGTTCTTTTTGACACGTAGACCGAGAACTGGAAAAAAGATGAACTGCAGCATCTTCTGGAATTTTTATTTACCAAGTCCATGAGCAGTGTGATGGATTTGCTCAGCAAAGCAGACACAATACAGTTGGACCCTACTCTGCTCATAAATCAGCCCCAAAAACGAAATAAATACAATCAAAACCATTCTTGGTCTCAGGGTCACTCCCTAGCCCTAGGAAAGTTCATGCCATCCATGTTTGCACTTTCATGAAGTCCAAAGGGCTTCAGGAGAGTGCCTGGTAGTTTTTATTCAAAATTCTCCTATTGACCTGTTGGAGGAGGCAAATTAAAGTAATCCCACTTGCAGAGCTCTCTTTCCATCCTTGCACATTTATGACCACTGAGACGCACAGGCTAAAATTCCTTCTACAAAGTTGCTGCTAACCATTTGACCATTTGATTCTCTTTCCAGTGTAATAACAGTTTGACACCAGACTGTCCAATGCCACCTGCAGATGTGTCACCCCAATATCACTAGGAATCTCCTCTGCCCTATTTTCAGTTCCTGTTTTCAGTGCCCTTTGTGAAGGGTACGATTTGGGCACTAATGGCACACTTCTAGCTAATAGTTCCATAAAAATTGACACTTACTTCTAGCTAATAGTTCCATAAAAATTAGATGACCATCCAAAAACACCCAAAGTTCTTCCTCACAGTGGTTTCTGACCTGTATCTATTGTTTAGTCAGTACTTCATGTGCTTTTTTGTAGAAACAGAAGACAGTTAGCCATAATTAAGTACTTCCCTAGTTTCTTTGTTTATTGGACTAAGAACTTTAAGAGAACTAGTCATCTTTACGGATTCACATCTGAAAGGTTGAAAATCTAACAAGAAAAACCAGGCTAGATTACAGATTGTATAAAGAAGTTCTGATAAAACACAAATATCTATGTTTACCAGAAAGGTCCACTCAACTGATGGGCCCATTTGAGTAGAAAGGGTGGTTTCTCCAGATTGCATTGCAATACTTGATTTTCCATCCACCTCTTTCTTAATTATGTTTACAATGAAGTTTCTGAAAATGCTGCTGCATTTTGTGGTGGTGTCTTTCAGACTTTATATAACTAGGCATCCTGAGAACCCCTTCTCCATAGTTGTTGGCACAGATTGAATAAGCATGTTTTCCTATTATGACATTGGTTCTATCCACAAAGAAACTTAAAAGAAGTCTAAAATAATGTAATATTAAATGCTGGAACATCTTTCCAAAGTGAGAGAGGTATTTCTTTTCAAGCATCTCAGTTTAATGGAGTGCAATGGGTCTTGGTGTACAGCATTGGTCAATGACTATGTAACTAGTTAAGAATCTGCACTTAAATCTTAGATTTATACCCCAGGTGCTTTTAAGGTACATGAAGTACTGTGTGCTGCATGTCACTTTATCAGACACTGCCAGTTTCTCTTTGCTTGAGGCAACCAATTGAATTCCATACCTGTTACTTCAGTCCCACAGTGCCAAAACTACTGATTTTCAGTTTTACACATGACATGTAAAGATGTGCTTGACAATATGAGTTCAGTAATAAACACAAAAGTGTGAGAACAGGCAATGCTGTGTCAAACCAAAGGTTCACTGACACAATGTTCTGTTCCTCATAGTGGCCCACAAGGGATGCCTAATGAAACAGGGAAACAGGGAAAACTTGTAGCCTTGGTTCTCTTCCCAGACTGCTCTTCCACCTTCAAGAAATCCATGGCTCTTCCACCTTCAAGAAATCCACCTTCAAGAATCCAAGTTTCTAAATCAGAGCGAATAATTTTATATCAAATAAGCCTTAATTTTTTTTAATGTGAATTTGTCTAACATACAAACTTCTAAGTGTCACTGCAATCCTGCTACAAGGACTTTCAACATCTTGTTTAAAAATAACTTTGATTATGAGTGTGCCACCTGCTAATTTCATCTGATGCTCCCAGAAGAGAGATCCTTGTGTGTCCTTTGCACTGTACCCAGGATTCTGTACATCTATACCATACTGCTCCTTGTTTTCCTCTTTTATTGCCTTAGGTGTCCTAATTTGTTAGTCATTCCTTCTACAAACCAGTTCCTTACTATGATTATTCTTGTTGTATTTCTCTACACCTTTTCTAATTTTATTACAACTTTTTCAACATCACAAAAAATAGACCAGCTCTGCACATTGTATTCAATATCAAGGCATATTGTTTTCTATTGAATTTCTAAGGGCATAGACATTTTTCCAAAGTAATTTTTGCATCCTTTAGTCACTTTTTACATTGATTTTTCATACTCTGAGGTGCACCACGGTTCTCCCACAGTTGCTGTTATGACTTTTGTAACTTCCTCTCTTAAATATTCCTGAATACTCTTTTGCATCAATACAGGAAACTAATATTACCACTCCTTTGTCTTAGCTATCAGATGTAATGTAGGAAATAGAAAATATGATGAGAGCCTAAACAGGAGTGTCTCTTGCTGTGTTAGATGCATTAAGATATGCAAGGCAGCTGTCTGGCCAATATGATACAGCCTATAAGGAGACTCACACCCTCCTAAAGCAACAACTTAAGGCTATAAAGAATATACTGTGGTATAAAAAAATATAGTCACCCTTATTTAGGCATTGAATTTCTGCCTAGATGTTGGTATGTAAAACAGTTTAACTCTCATATGCCAATCAAGAGAGCGACAAGTTGTGAATTAGCCAGATTTCTTGATGAAGACAACACAGTAATAGCTGCAGTTTTGAATAAATGTCATGTCTCTTTTTGAAACATTTGCATATAAATACAGATTGAATATTTTAAAACGTTGTTTCTTTTGATTCTCCTTTAGGATTCTGGGGAAATGGTTCGATCCTTTGTTGGTGGCTTGGAACTGATAGTAAAGTTGCTAAAATCAAAGAATAAAGAAGTTTTAGCAAGTGTATGTGCAGCCATTACAAATATAGCTAAAGATGAAGAAAACTTAGCAATTATAACAGATCATGGAGTTGTCCCTCTGTTGTCCAAACTGGCAAACACAGTAAGTAACATCTAAACTTATTATATGAAGTATCTGAATTTCTTATGTCAGACAGTGTAACTAAGAGGTTGTGACAGGAGCAGTAGATTTTGCAGCAACTACAAGGAAAAGCTGTAGAATCCTTCCTCTATGAGATGCATATTGGACATGAAAACACCCTGTGTCTGGTACTAAAATTGCTTGGGAAGATGAGCTTCATTTTAATAGTTACTCTTGTGGAATATTGCTTTTGAGAGGTGCAGCTGCCGTATGAAAAAAGCACAAATGGTTGAGAAAGTAATAAATCTGAACATGCAGAGGATCTCAATGATGGGGCTATATTTTCCATTTTAATGCTATCTTATCTAATTTCCAGTCAGTCTAAAAGTATCTTTGAAATAATATAAAAATTTACAACATTTCCTACAAAAAGAATATTAAGGGACTACTAACTCTATGCCTTACAGCTCTGTCCAGTTTTAATTGTACTGCAGTTAAACTAGGATGCCTTAAAGATGCTTGAAAATACAATTCTGCTTTCCTATGATTTTTTTTAATGTGGTATGTTGCCTTTAATTGATTATGTTTTTGCCTTCTTCAGAAGAGTAACAAAATAAGATGTCATTTGGCTGAGGCCATTTCCCACTGTTGCATGTCAGGGAACAATAGAGTTGCCTTTGGAGAGACCAAGGCTGTGGCTCCTTTAGTACGTTACTTGAAGTCAAGTGATCCATCAGTTCATAGAGCTACAGCTCAGGCTTTATATCAACTTTCAGAGGATCCCAGCAACTGTATTACCATGCATGAACATGGAGTGGTGAAGGTGAGATGGAAGGTTTTTCTTATTTGGGGTTCAAATTATTGAAGGGGTTTGGCATGGTCAAAAGAAGAGATCTGAAATGTGAAATGGTTCTTGAATACTGCTGTGTACCACAATTTTTTAAAACTTTATGTTAAAAACGTTTGGTTAATTAGAGAACAGGATTTCAGTGCTAAACATACTACAGCTGGGTGGTTGTTGGGAACAGAAATACAATGTGAACATTCACTTTAGAGTGCTTGACTCTGACCTAGGCTGGTAGTGATGTCACATCAGCATTTTGTCATTCTCAAGTGACATTTGCAAAAGAAGTTGGGTTATCTTAATGGATAGTTGCCTAATATGTCAGGAAGTCACTTAGAAACTGAGTGTAACTGCATTTGGGGATGAATTAAGATAGAACAATAGAAAGGCTTAGTTTACCTGCAGCTGTTTCAGTGAATTCAGCATTTACTTATAAAAATTCTTATTTTAGGAGGTAAGTATGAGCACATTCTGGCTCATACTGGCTCTTTAGAGATGGAGATAGTAGGAGTTCTCAATTGTCATAAATTCTCTGAAAGATTCACTGCATGCAGACTTTTCATTTTACTTCATGTTCAGGTAAATGCATTGGCAGTAAAAGTTGACTCATGGTGCAATGTTGCCATTAATGTTGATTTTATGCCTGCCCTTGCGATAGTGCACATTATTGTGAGCAGTTTCAATTCTAGCACAGTTAATGGTCCCACATTATCATACATTTGTCTGTAGTTGAGTTTAAAGGATCCACTGGTTAAAAATATTCAAAGATTTTAAATGCTTGTGCTTGAACTTACTCAAATCTAAGCTACCCTTTCAGTGCTGGAATGTAACACATTCCTATCACAGTTGCATTATACTGTCTACACAGCACAGAGGAATATATACTGTACTACAGCTCAGTTTGAAACTAGTGCTTGTTGATATTTTAGTGTTGCTTATCTCTCTGTTCAATTGACCCAACCCAATTTCTGACCTCCTGTCATCTGTTGGTTGAATTCATTTTATTGTGAAGATTTTAGGTTTATAAGTTGTAGCACACTGAACATACTACATAAAGTCAATTCTCATGATTCATTTTTGTAATAATTCCATCTGCATCTAGGTTAATCTCTATTTTTCGGTCCTAGTTAAAGTGTTTAGACTAATTAAAAACATTAATTTGCACTCACTGGTAAGTAGAGATGTACAGAAAAATATCACAAGTGTATCTTTTTTTTTGTTATTCACAGTATTGTGGATTGACTATAATATGTAAAGGGAGAAAAAAGAGAACTGAAAAGATAAAGAACTGAAAAAATAAAGAGACTTGAGTTATGTTTGTTACATTTAAGCTTTTTGTCCAGGGTGCACTTCTCATGTGCAAGAAACTTGTATTTTTATACTACAGCAGGTGTTTGAATGTGGGTTTGTGTGTGGTTCATTACAGAACCAAAGTAGAAGTGCCTCTCATCCTTTAGCTGAAGGATGACCTGAACACATGAGAGGATATATGACTGAATCTCATCATGTGTGCCAGCACACATGTATTTGTGTCATATAAGCAGGTGTGTGTTAGTAGTATGACAAGAAGCAGCTGCATTTTGGCTCATTTGGGACTGTCAGCCAGGGTAGCAGTTCTGCTGAAATAAAGACCTGAAGTGTAGATTAAACAAGTTGAACATGAGCCTGGTGCCTAGGAGAGGTGAAAGCTAACTGGATCCTGGACCATATTAGAGGGTGCATAGCTAGTAGGTCCATAGATTCATGTTAATAAACCGTGAAAAACCTAAACCATGGTCTCTTCTCCCTAGGCCATAGAGTGATGCAAGTGCAGTAAGAGGTCATCAGAGCTAGCTCTCTTAAGATATCTTGAACTTTCTTAACTGTCTAGGCCTGGTAGCATGGAGCTCAGTGTCAGATGATTTGCCTTATTCTAATACCATGAATGCAGCATAGGCATTTCCATTTTTAAAGAAGTATGTAGTTTGGTTTTGCCCTTATTTTTCAGGGTATGGAATTCTACCCACAAGAGGACAATACCTATGGTCATCTAGAGTTTTTAGCCTTAAATAAAGTCTGATTTAATTAACAATTATGCTGCTATGATGTTCCCAAACACTTTCTGGTGCTTATGTATTGTGTTATACCTAGAATGGCAAAGCAAAATGAGGGAACAAATAGGCCTTTTGAGAAGATAAATTAGACCAGTGAGACATAGTGTTGCCTATCCAGTGAGGATAAATAAGTGAAATGTGGTGAAGTCTGAAAAACTATGTTCTGTTGGACCTATGATGGTTTCTCCATAAATGCTTGTCCAAGTGCTTTTGTTCTGTGTGGCCAGAACTAAGCAGATCATGAAGCAAATCAACATATGCACCATAACAGGTCAGGGCACAGCTGGTCAATCCACCAGTGTTTATGAGCTTGATTTCTGTGCTGGTACTGTTGGAATTGCCATCAAGAATCAATTACTGGAGTTTCAGAAAGGCTAGAGAGGCATTCCCAGATGGCAGGGAAAGTGTGTGGAGGAGATATAATTCTTAAATGTGAGAGTGAGTACAGTGCTGAATCTTGCCTGGACTATTCAGTTGGTCTGCCCAGCACAGGTCAGACAGTAGTTGCAGCACTGTGTTATTGGATATCTTTGCTCCATTCTTCTCAGTGATGACAGAATGTCCATGTGTTTTCATTCTTCTAGGCTCTCCAGTGAGTAGCTGACTGAAAGCATACTTTGTAGTTATATAGGGGTTGTTATGTACAGGTTTTTGCAGGACCTATCATATTCCTGC